TATGTGACCGCAGGGTCGGCACCTCTTTGGCGCCCTGTCAGGATGACACCATTGTGTCTTCTAACAGACACAGAAAAAAAATTTTATTGGCCGTTTATTTACGCGAACGGTCGCGTTGTGGACTTTTAGTTCCGGGATGGAGGCGTACCGAGAGAACCAGAGGAATTACACTCTAACTCATCGAGACATAATACCCGTTTATTGGTCATACTATATACAATCGCAATAGCTATATATAATCCGTTTAATTAACATATCTAAGTTTTTCGGTTACCCGCATTTCTGAGAGAGAGAGAGCTCACATAAAATTCGCGCGAGGATAAATACCTTGGGTTGAATCTCTATATAATCTTCGAGTCTCTGTATGGCACCAAGTTCCGTCGAACGTTGATAGGTTGGTTCTATGTGGCACAAAGTTCTTTCGAACGTTGATAGTGTAGCACAAAGTTCTTTCGAACGTTGATAGTGTGTCACAAAGTTCTTTCGAACGGCGGCGATTCGAATAGTAGCGGCTTATCCGTATACGTAATCCACAGATCACACCAAACTCCAGAGACTGACTCTTATGTATCGACCCTTCCTTTTTATAAAGGGGGTCTCGTTGGGTTTTTTTCCACTGCCTTATTACGACTGTTTTTTTTTTCTTGACCAATCGTCTTCTTCGTGATTTCGGGTGACACATTCGATGTATCATACTTGACAAGGAACTAAGTTCGTGGGAAAAGATTTTTATGTTCTTTTTTTATGGCAGTTTGAAGTTAAAAATTTTTTTCTTTTCGTCCCTTAACAAAAATTTTATTTAACGAATTTATTCACTAAACTCGACTCTCACATATATATTTCCCATATATATATTCCCCATATAAATATGGGGAATATCGCGCTTCTGACAATCGCTGCGAGTGTGTGGGCTAAATTTGGAGAATCCGTTCTTCTCACGTGGACAACTGTATGTGGCCGGCTCATGCGTCGGAAAACCTTTCGATTTATTCGTGTATGCACCAGACGGAAAAACAAAAAATATCGTGTATCCACGAGCACTCCAATAAATAAATAGAATTGAAACGACACTTTGAAATGTTTTCCCGATGAAAATGAATAATAATAATAAGTTTCAATAAAAATGATAAAATGAAAATTTAATTTTATCATAACGAGTTTGCTTGAATTTCATTTCTTCTGAGATCGCAGCAAAGCGCGACGAGTAAGCTAGTATAATTATAAAATTCTTGAACGTCAATAACTACAGGGTGAGCCAGAAGTCTCTAATTGTAGGTGTTATTACGATGTTTGTTTATTCTCTCACAAAAAAACATGGCGCTATGTAAATAAGAAAGAATTGGAGTTATTCTGATGATAGTGACTTGTTACCTGCACACGTTGCTGAACATTTGAACTGATTATTACATTTAACTGATCATTACATTTATCACACATAATGTTAGTACCAGGTGTATGAAAATTACAACTCACACGTTATCAGTTACTAGTTTCATTTAACTTATAGCTCGTAGGAAGTATATGCAGTTTCTTACTGATTATTAAGGACTGTAGTCAAAGTTGCGTACGACAAGTAGCTTGTAATTTGATACAAAAGTAGTCATTCAACACATTTTGCTTATAAATTCTAATTAGTACAGTTCGTGAGAATTACAAGCGTTTTATGCAACAGGTCATGTTTTGGATTTACGCAAAATTTCGCTGACTATTTTGTCTACCATCAAAATAAGTTCAATTCGTTCCTCCTTACTTTACCTGTTGAAAATTCAGAAATGTCAACATAACTACAAAGGTTTTATAAGTGTGGGACACAATTTTTGTGAATAAATTAAAACACTACATTCGATTCTTTATGTTTTCTATATATTTATTTTCTTTATCTTATATATTTTAATTCTCTACATATGCTTAGTAAGAATTAAATAACATTAGACCTACTTACTCATTTGACCAAAATACATAAATCTTCCTTTACTATCTAGTTTTGGTAAGATTTGAATACCATTCAGTGTTAAAACATGTTCCAATTTAGAAGGAAGTAGATCTTTAAAGTACTGAAGATACTGTATTCTGACTTCATAATAATTCTTCAGCATTTTCAACGATCTTTGCATATCATATTTTCTAGCACGAAGATTTCCAAGAAGAAAAATGTCATCCATACGACATTTTATTTTTTGTTCTCCTGTTAGGAATGTAAAAAAATAATATAATGTATTATTTCTTTTAATTTAATGAATTTCCATATAAATATACAATATTTTTAATTACAGAATAGGTTTTAATCCCTAATTATATGATAAGAAGGAAGTATCTATTATTCAGTAATTATCTGAGTGACACATTACATTTTTTAAAGTTCATTATTACTGTTCGATAAAATGTAATTGGTAAAGAATGATTCAAATAATTTTGTTATATTGTTCGACTTATTGGCCCAATTCTACAATCTACAATAAATAATTAACTGTTCTTAACCTGTAATACGTTATTATGATTTTTGATCGATTGACTCGGCTAGATGGTAACAAGTAATTCGAAGAATCATGACTAAAATACTGATTAGATTACATTCAAAATATTAATCATAAAGAAAAAAATTGATATAAAGAAGAAGCTCACAACTTTGCCTTGGAAAAGGCCAAAAAATATACAATGTACTGTACTGTACATCAATTCTTTGACATGAAAGTTTTTTTAATTAATTAATTTTTATTTACAGTCGATTTTCTGAGTAGGACGTAGGAAAGAAATACCTATGAAAGGTGGTAAGGCAGAAGGAATGGAAGAAGTAACTGCTGAAATGATTAAGTACGGTGGAAGAAAGGTTGTATATTGTTTGAATAACTTGTTTAATACTTGGTGGCGTAATGAAAGTGTGACAGAGAAATGGCTGACGAGTGTAATTTTGTCGTTCTATAATGGAAAGGGTGACCAGGCTGAGTTTGCGAACTATTGAGCTACAATCCTGCTCACCGTCCCAGTTAAGATGTATGGGAAACTTGATACGGCGCCTACAGCGATAAACTGATGGTAAAGTATGGGAAGTGGTATCAGGAATGGTAGAGGATGTGCGAATCAAGTGTTTGCTCTGCGATTGCTGTCACGCATGTGTGAATCTGAGCCTTGTTTCTTTTTCTGAATTCTTTGCAATTCAGAAGGGGGTGCGACAAGGGTGCGTAATTATTCTGTGAGACAAGCAGCGGGCCACGGGTTAATCTCACAATGACCACTTACTCTGCACGGGTTGGCAAAACCTGATCTCTGCGTCGTCGGGTGGAGGGCAAATCGAATGGGGAGTGCGCCGGTAAGTTGGCAGGTGCCGGTTAAACAAGAGACAGGTCAACAGAATAACAAGCATTTATTAATTAACACAACTAAGTTACAAAAATACTAAATCTAAATGCGATTATATTAAAGTATGTACAGAAATTGGCGACTACGTTCTTAGCTAGAAGCTAGGTCGCTGTCCTAGTTTCTAGTTCAGAGAGAGAGCGCTTTTATAAAATCTACCCCTAAATACCTCTAGGTGGAAGGGAGAGTTTGGCGAACGTCGTCTGTATGGAAGGGTGTGGTATCTTCCGTGTCTTCTTGCCGATGTCCTCTCTCTGTAGCTGGATCAAGTCCGCTGTATGGAGGTTCGGGACACTATCACAAAGTACAACTTCCTATGACGAATCGCCCTGAGCTTCCGGAGATTCGAGCTTTTATACCTTTTCGTGCGAGAGTTGACACGTCATCGCCTCTTGTTGACGATGACGGTGCATTCTTCACACTTAACAGTCAACTTCCTCAGCTCATTGTTACAAACTCTGTGAAATTCGATATAGTTTAAATTCCTCGGGTTTTTTTCCGAAGTTACTTAACCGAAAATTTAGATGTTTAAGCGGCCCATACAAATCCGAAAAAATCCGCGCTTCACAATTCTGTGGCTGTTTAATATATTGTTGGATGCAGGTGTGTGTGAAGCTTAATCTGATAAACCAAGGGATGAAAGTTGGGAATGAGAATGTGCATGTGTTGTTGTATGCAGATGATGCAGTGTTGTTAAGCGAAAATGAAGTGAAAATGCGAAGGATGCTTAGCTGATTTAACAAGGTGTTGCAAGAGAAAGGACTACGAATAAATACTAATAAGACTAAATGCATAGTGTTTGAACGTACTAAAGTTGACAGAACATATTGCTACTTGACGCTGGATGGTGTGAACGTCAAACAAGTCGACAACTTTGTATACTTGGGAAGCATGTTACAGAGTGATGACAAATGCTAAAAACATGTCTTTTATATCATGGAAAAAACTTTTAAAGGTTATGCTAAAACTTGTCGGGCTCTTATTTTAGAAAATATTGACCCATCTGTCTTGAAAAAAAAACAAATATTTAGCATTTATAATATTTTAAATTATGCACCACCTGGCTGCTANAAATATTTAGCATTTATAATATTTTAAATAATAATAACTTTTTGTTTGTAGAAAAAGCTTTTTAATAGGCCTAAATTTAAAATCTAAATTATTAAATTATAAATAAAATGATATTACTTAGTATCAAGATGTTTATTTTTCTAGCCATGTTGAGCATGTTTTGTCGTCGTATATAATTGATGAAAAATTAATAAAAGCATTTGATACAATTTTAAACTATGTAAGCATATTTTATAAACTTAGTTTATAAAATATGCATCTAGGTGGATACTGAATGAAATTGCATTTATAGCTGTTTATATAGGTGTGAGATTCAGCCTGGGGTACAGGGTAGTTTGTTACTCCTGTATCACTTAATAGACAATCTAGTCGGTAGGACTAGTTCTCTAAAGTTACAGATCACTAGATCTGATCTTAGAAGTTTAGATAGGAGGACTGTAATATTCAGCTTTATGAGGATTGAAGACTGTGTAGTCTCTACCCAAATTGTCAGGTTCCGGACACCAGTTTATCTACTTTTCGTAACGCGGATAAACACGCGTGAAATTTATGCCGTCGATCTGATTCAGGAAATAATTCAGAGACATCTCTTAAACAAAATATAGAGAATTTTATAAACAAAATAAACAATATTAATACAGAATAAGAAATAATCAAATAATTCAAAACAATCCACCAAAGAACGAATAATCAAATCAATCGCGACAGGAGGAATTCTATTCTTAGTCTATTACCGAGTCGAGAGAGAGTAGTATTCTCAATCTATACATTTACGAGAGAGAGAGAGCTCACAATTTAGTCTTAAACATACGACCTGTTTTCTTGGTAGTGTCGTCTTCTTATTCGTGAAGGTACTTCATTGATAACTTAGGAGTAACTTGTTCGGGGATGACGATGCGTTGGTCTACTGGCATATCGGTGTGGAGTCCTTTCACTCTCCGATCTACGGACGAACTCTTAAGGGCGATGGCCTTAGAGAGCTAATGTGTGGAGTCCTGACTCTTCCAGGTCAGCCGATGAACTCCTCGAATTCGGTTGAACTTCCCATATATCTTCTCATTTACGACCAATTATCAGTCGAGGCTTTATCCACGTGAACGGATGGGAAGGGGGAAGAAATAAGGGGTAAACAGTTCCCATCGAAGCGAGATTTTTNACAACAATATAAATATTTTTCAAGAAATCGAGTCGAAAAAAAAAAAAAAACAAATGATCAAATATTTGTATCAATATGAACAAAATATGAATGAAGGAAGATGAAAAGAAACTCGTTTGAAATGTAGTCAAACCTTAATTCGTTCCAAAAAGTCGTTCAAAAACCGACTTGTTTTCAAACCAATTCAAATTTCCTTATTGGAAACAATATTAAATGAATTAATCCGTACCCTACTCCGAAACCAAAGTTTTTTTTTTACCTTTTATCTGTATATCATGCATAAAAATGCCTACAAATGCAATACAACATAATATTAACTATACCTATACTATCTCTATCTATTCTACATACATATTAAACGCAAAATGTTTCGTCACTTCCAACCAAAATGGAAACAAAATAACGAGTTGTTTAACTTTTCTGGCAACATTTAGTTATGCCATCTGTTATGATATTTTATTTTAAAAAGCGTTTTATATTTTTACAATTATAAAATGGCAAAAGGCTGGGTAGAAATGAGTTTCATAAAAAATGTAAATGCTAATAATGAGTAAAATCGTCATTACTGGAGATACACACGATCCCTTTTATCTCTCCATCCCTCGAACTTTAATTACCAAAATTTAATCATCAATCTTCTAATAAACAAACCTCCTTGCAAAATTTCAAAATTTTTCGACAAAAAATTACAGAAGTTAAGCTTCAAGCAGGATAAACAAAATCGTGTCCCCCATCCCATCCCCCATATACACACACACACGTTCATATATACAGAAAAAACTTCTAAATTTTTTCGTATATATATATACAGTATATTATTTTTACTTTCTTTTTTATAATATATTATATATATACATTTTATTCACATAAAATTTGTCTTCTTTTCTTGCTCCCTGTGAGTAAGTGTAGTTCTGTTTATTTTTGTTATCCCTAAATTCTAAAATCACTAAAATATTTTTTCCTCTCTTATTAATTATAAATTATTCATAACCTAAACTTTGAAATCTAAAAACAAAATCTCTGACCATTTTTTTTTTCTTGATTAAACTATAAATTTGAATGTTTTAATTATAAAGTATGAATTCTTTTAAAAATTTCAATGTTTTTCTTATTACATTTTTCTTTTTAAATCTCAAAATATGATTAAATATTTTTGTTATAGCTGAATATTTAAGTTATGACGTAACATTATCCTTAAATAAAATATAATATTTATCAATAAACGCATTGATTTTAAATCTTCTAATTAATCAATATAAAAGTTTTAATCAATATTAGCTATACAATAATTAAAAGTATATATATTTCCATAATATTNAAAAAGCTATTTAATTATTTACAATTGATTTAAAAACTTAAATAAAAAAAAGAATCGTTTAAAAAATTTAGCAGACGAATTGTCGTTTTCACAGCAACTGATATAACAAGTCATTTTATCGTCTTTTTCCTTCACAGTTCCAAATAATATTTCATTACTAAAGTCTTATCCCTCCCTCCCATTTAATCACTTCAGCTGAACGTGTCAAAAAGGTATTAATTAATCTTATCTAGTTCAACTCAAAAACAATTAACATGATCTAT